AGTTTGAGACACTTTATTGATGTGGAGACATTGGGGCGACGATATGAGATGACAGTTTTGATGGGTCGTTCCTTACTGGAGGGGTATCGACATTGGTTGTCGAGCATTGGTTTTAGTTTTGGAGCTTCGACATATTTGGGTCATCTTGGTCATAGGTTGCTGACTGCTGCGTGTGGAGATTTTGGATCTGGTGGAGCTGCTTCAGATTTTGGGTTGCGTCGAATATTTGGTTGCCCAGCATTTGGTCACATCGAGGATGTGGGATTTGATCCGATTATACGTTTGAGATTCAGAGGTTCGTTTGATTATCAGTTAGGAGCTTCTGATTTTTTCCGAGCAGGTATGTCACATTTGACTCTCGGCGGGTGGAGAGTGTTGATCAGATAATTGAGATATCACAGCGGGTAGAGGGTGATGCTACTTCATATTAGGTGGATATTACTCCACATACTCCAGATCATACTGTATCGTTTGGGATTCTAGCTGAGGTGACATAGTTTGGAGATCATTTGGATTTGGATGCAGATGATGAGTTGATTTTGAATTCGAGTGCAGCCAATGGACATGTTTTGGATACGATCATTGGTTCACCTCAGGTGAAGGTGTTTGATTTGTTTCAGTTCGGGGCCATTGGGAGCGCTATTAGTTGTAGATCCGTTGGTGATATTGGTGAAGAGTTGTAAACTTTTCTATTTGATTGAGGGCTTTTGGAGACCGTTTGGGTGAACTACGTGAATGCTTGATTCCTTGGGCAAGAGGATACGTAGGCAGTCATTTATGATGCAGCCGGTTTGGTGAGTTGATAGCGACATTTGGAGTTTGTTCGCATTCTCATTTAGGTTCTCGACTTGTTGTGGATTGAGTCCGTTGTCGTGGATTTGTTCCACTTCGTATTGGACGCAACAAGTGAGACGTTTGGTTGGTATTGGTGTCGGCTCAGTTTTGGGAAAACTTCGCCGAGGTGGAGAATTGTTGGATAGCCGGTTCCTAATATGTTTCCTAATTTGTTTTGGTAACAGGTTATTAGGATTCCTAATCTGTTTTGGTAACATGATTCCAAATCTGTTTTTGGTAACATTTTATTAGGATTCCTAATCTGTTTTGTTTTTTGTTTTAGAATTTCTAGTATGTTTATGATTTTAGGATTTCTATATATATGGAACAATTGGAAAAGAGAATTTAGAAGAAAATTGGGGACATTTGGAGCACAGAAAAGAGGTATTTTCTGAGCTATTGGTTAATGTTTTGTTTGGAAAGAATTAGAGCTTTGTTGGTGAGATTAATTGGTGAGTTTGAGTGATTTGTAATCTCAGTTTGTACTCTTCTTCTCTGTTAATGAAAAACCCTATCCCCTTCTTGCCCCGTGGACGTAGGCAACTTGCCGAACCACGTTAAAATTGGTTGTTTATGTTTGTGGCATTGATTTGGTTCGTTTGGCATTTTCTCGACGTTCGTTTGATTTGATTTCTCGTAGCACGTTGGTTTGGTTGTTTGGCTTTCACAGCGCACAACAGTTTCATCCTCCACTGAGTCGTCATCACCATCACTAGCTGATACAATTTTCTCTATAGGAACAAAAACATTGACAGGTCTAGTTAGCTTTTCTTCATTGAGTTTTGAATGAGTGGATGCAGCTTGGTTTGCATGAGAGGTGACTATCCTTCTTGGAGTTTTAACTTTCTCATTTTTTTCTAGTCCACAACCAGGTTGGTTGATGATTGTATGAGATTGCACAATACCATTTGCTTAGACTGTATTGGATTGAGATTCTATTACACCAACTTCTACTATCTCAACTTGATCAATATACGATTTGAAAACACTTCTATTACTCTATGCCTTCTTGCATGTTCTATCATTTTTGACAAATCATCATCAATATGCAGCGGAATTCAAGCCTTCATTTTTCAATCCAACCTCTTGAATGCCACAGTATAACATTCCCGCATTCAGGTACCATAGCTTGCCACTCTTTCCTGATCAAGTCTATGCAATATCTGCCTCAGCCTGAATGTCAACATCGGCCCTACCCCCAATATAGCCATCGTTGTGAAGAAAATCAAAATGACCATCATGGCGGAATTTAACCATGATTAAACCCATCCACCTGCATAAAAATTAATAGAGGAAAGTTCGCAACATTTTAAATTTTTACAAATTTATCACGTGAGGTATTTGGCTATTTTGGGGGTATTTGGCAGTTTAGACCATCTCCAGCAGGAGGTGAAATTTCACCTCCTTCTCTCCTGCCACATCACTTTATTTAATTCAATAATCTTCATTTCCCTATCAACTCTACAGCAGGAGATTTTTCAGAAAGTTTTTTACTTTATTTGGGACCCACCATAAACCACTTCACTTCAACATATACCCCACCATATTTATTCATTCTTTTTCCTATTTCATATATATTACTATTTTATTATTATTATTATTATTATAACTCATATATTTATAATTATAATTTATTAATAATTCAATAAATAATATATAATATTTAAATATATATTATTAATTTAATTTTCAATAATATTTTTAAATTAACATAAAATAACACACGATTTTATTAAGCATACGGAAAACCAAACACACCCAAATTATTGAAAACATTAAAGAAAACACACACTAAATTGGTAAATCTAATCGGAGGTTGTCCCAAACTTCTGCCAAATGTGCTCGATGAGATCCTTCTTCAGCTGAATATGTTGGGTCTTATCTCGTAGTTCCGCTCTAGTCTGATTATCTGCCTCAGATCGGTGTTGAACATGGACTTGAAACTCCGGCAACACGTCTGTTTGAACATTGAAAGAGGCGCTAGAGCTAGCATTGTTCGACAGTTCAAAGTCGATATTTTCCTAGTTTCGCGAATACGTATCTCGTTCATCCTCTACTATCATGTTATGTAAAATAATGCACGCCCTCATTATTTTTCCTAAGACATCAAGATCCCACATTCTAGCTGGTTGGCGGACAATAGCGAAGCGTGCTTGGAGTACCCCGAATGCGCGTTCCACGTCCTTCCTGCATGATTCCTGTTGTTTGGCAAAAAATTGATGTTTGTTGCCTTGGGGCATTTGAATTGACTGCACGAAGACAGGCCACTTAGGGTAGATTCCGTCGGCAAGATAGTATGCAAGATTGTACTCCCGCCCATTCACGGTGAAGTTTACCCGTGGAGCTTCACCCGACTCAATGTCGTCAAAAACCGATGACCTATCTAGTACATTTATGTCATTCAAACTACCAGAAAGCCCTAAAAAAGCATGACATATCCACAAATCATATGACGCAACTGCCTCGAGGATAATTGTTGCCGTCCCCTTGTGTCCACTAGTAAACTGCCCTTGCCAAGCCTTAGGACAATTTTTCCACTGCCAGTGCATGCAATCAATACTTCCAATCATCCCTGGGAATCCACGTTCCTGTCCAACTTGGAGCAACCTCTGCAAGTCTTCCACATTTGGTCGTCGTAAGTATTCATCTTGAAACAATGCTATTACCCCTTCGCAAAACTTGCGAGTACACTCGATAGCAGTGGATTCTCCTATCTTGACGTACTCATCACAAGCATCGGCTTCGACTCCATATGCGAGCATGCGTATGGCAGCCGTACACTTCTGGATAGGCGTTAACCCAAGCTTGCCCGCATTATTGCGCCGTTGTGTGAAGTAATCATCGTAATTTGATATAGAGTCCACAATTCGTAGAAAGAGAGGCCTTTTCATTCGATACCTGCGTCGGAACTGGGCGTCAGTGTAAGTGCATGACTCGGCAAAGTAGTCGGCCATGAGTCTCTCATGCGCTGCATGATGATCTCTATGTATGGATTTCCTCTTACGTGGTTGTTCGCTTCTCCTTTGCAATTCCTCAAGAAGTTCTCGCTGCCTATCAAGTATTTTTTCTTCTATTTCCCATTGTTGTTGGAACTCTTCTAGACTAAACTCATTTAGGAAAGGATCCATTGGATGCTATGATTTTTGAAATGTTGATAGGTATACTTATGATGTGCATCTGATCAGTTTATATAATGAAGGGTAGTTGTTCAAATAATTGAATTCACATGCAATTGCAGAGACATGTGTCATAGGGCATGCAACATCAGAGACATGTGTCATAGAGCATGCAACATCAGAGACATGTGTCATAGGGCATGCATGTGCAGAGAGTTGTCAATTCATATTTTGTATTATTATGCAGGTGTAGTCATTTCATCCTTTGTATTTTTTGCAGTGAAAGGTCAATTCAACATTTGTTTGTTTTTGCAGTGAGTAGTAATTGTATCTTTTGTACTATTATGCAGTGAGAAGTCATTATCAATCGGCTTTATTGAAACATAAACAACACTTTTATTCAAAAATAAACAACACTTTTATTCACGTCCAATTGGTTCCACGTCAGCTAAACTTATCCAACTCAGCTGTCTAACTATCCTCACGTGAGGTCACGTGATGCAGATGCCAACTGATATTTGCCCACTGGCAAAAAATTAAGACAAAGTGCATATTTGGTTCACTTTAAATACTGAAACATTGCCGGAGATCTTTTAAGTACCAAACTGGTTTAAGGGAATCAGCCAAAGAAGAAAAAAACAATTTAGTGATTTAGCCGATCTAAAATGTTATCTCAAAGTATATTTTATAAATTGATACACCTCTAAAATGATAGAAGTCGTAAAGTTTTTCCCCGGATTTATAGACAAGTACTGACATTCAAATAGAAAAAACATGGCCGCACAATTCTAAAAACAAAAATGCTGTTTGGCTCGCTCTTTAACGCGCGAGCCAACTCGCACAGAGAGGAGGGGTGGGCC